TCCATAGTCTTATAACAGTAAGGAACTTTTAAACGTTGAACAACATTTAAATGTATCTTTGCAAGCTGTTGACAGAAATAACACTTAATACAAGTCTGACTTTAGTACAGATTTAAATTGCTCAAATATTTCTGTTTCTGTTTCAGGGAACAAATGAAGTTTTGAGGATGTATATTGCTTTGACAGGCATGCAATATGCAGGCAAAATCTTAACTGAAAAACTAAAGTATGTAATTCTTTTAAATAATCATATTAACTGAATTAATACTGGATGTAGATTGAAAATTGATCAGTAGGAACAGCACTAAAGGAAAATAATGCTTCCGACTTTTTTTTTCTTGAAGATATGCAGCTTGCATTAATGGATCGTTTTAATAATGGTCCATTTGTATTATTCTGGAAAGATAGTTTTAAAGTAAGTTTTACTAGATGATGTTACCTAGTTTGGGTAATGAAATGTCTGCAACAGCCAAGTTCAGAGAGCACCAAGGACCCCTCATTTCAACCCTGTGCTACAAATATTCTCCTTTAAAGTTAAGCCTATTGTAACTTGATGAAAACTACAAAATATGTTTGTTATATTAGTCATTTAACTAATGATGCTGTGAATTGGAATCAATTCAGTAGAAAGGGTATGTAATCAAGGAAACTCGAGGCAGCTTATCTGATAATAAGGATTCTGCAGATGAGAACTCGCTGTTTCTGCTGATACCACAGTAGCTATGATATGTCAGAATGTTTACCTATACAGGCAGTCCTTCACTTATGACAGTTGAACCCAAAATTTTCATTGTTAAATGAGTTTTGCCCATTTTATAACCTTTTCTACCACAGATGTTAAGTGAATCTGGCTTTTCTGTTGACTTTGCCTGCCAAAAGGTTACAAAATGTGATCACATGACTCCATCATAAATACATATAGCTGCCAGGAGTCTCAGTTTTGATCACACGACCATAGCATATGCAGCGGTTGTAGTCATAAATCTCTTTTTTCAGAGCCGCTGTAACTTCAAAGAAGTAAATGGTTGTAAGTCAAGGACTACCTGTATCATGTTTGAAAATATTGAAAGGATTAAGAAATGAAGGCCATGATCTTTCTAATCCAGACCAGGATATAAGATGAGGCCAACATAGCTGTGGCTTATGTAGTAGTAGTAGTAGTAGTAGTAGTAGTAGTAGTAGTAGTAGTAGTGGTAGTAGTGGTAGTAGTAGTAGTTGTTGTTGTTGGAAGTGATCTTGGAGGTCTTCTAGTCCAACCCCCTGCTCAGGCAGGAAACTCTATAACATTTCCAACAAATGGCTGTCCAGTCTCTTCTTAAAAACTTCCAGTGATTAATTGTTCCAACTGTCAGAAAGTTTCTCCTTAGTTCTAGGTTGCTTCTCTCCTTGATTAGTTTCCATCCGTTGCTTCTTGTCCTGCCTTCAGGCGCTTTGGAGAATAGCTTGACTCCCTCTTCTTTGTGGCAGCCCCTGAAATATTGGAACACAGCTATCATGTCCCCCCTTGTCCTTCTCTTCATTAGACTAGACATACCCAAATATTGTGAATTTGTTGTAGATTACCTCATTTATTGTATTGTTACTCCATTTCTGTTTGTTTTGTTCATAGAGTTTTACTTATATTGTTTTCTTGCTGATTATTGTAAGCCACCCAGAATAATGTACTGTGTGTAAGATGGGCAGCCAAATCAATTTGGTGGGTAGTTGGTAGGTTAAAAGTAAATCCAGGCATATACAAAGCACATTTCAGAGACAACTGATACTTTGACAGTGGCCATCAAAGCAGCCAAGACAGTTTGATCCCTCTTAATTCATTGCATTTGGGGCATCTTAGGTTTGGCTGAAGTTTAAGATGCCTTTTCACCTCGTGCCACTGAATACCCGAATACCCCCCAAAAGCAGGAGTCTCATTTTTTTTTTCAAAGCAGAGCTCTTGTCACATCATACTTAAGGCTGCTCCTGTGCTGACAAGTGTGGCTCCCTGCCCTCCAACTCTCCTCATGAACCGAAGCTGCAGCAGTTTGGAGGAATAAAAAGTAGTGGGAAACAAATATTGAATAAACTGAGTACTTAGGTGAAGAAGAAGAAGAAAAGGACAGTTATGCACAGTATTACATGGGTACACCATTTAATACAATTATTCCCCTGCAGAGAATTCAAGAAAAGAAACGTAAAAGTGATATGGAATCTACTTGTGGGCAGGCTATTTGGCAGCAAGCCTCCAAGCATAGAAGTAATTGGGCGTGGAGGAGAAGTTCATCCCAGTCTCAAAGTAAGTGTTCCGTGTAGAAAAATGATACACCTATTACAGTCCTCCAGGCTTTTTAGTGCAATACCAAATTCTTCCATTTATTACCTAGGAAACAAAATACGGTTGATTTCACATAGTTTAGGCCAGTATTTTCCAACCTTGGCAATTTTAAAAGGTATGGATCTCCATTTTCAAAATTCTCTGGCTGCACAGTGGCTGGGGAATGCTATTAGAATTGAAGTTCACACATCTTAAAAAAGTTGCTAAGATTGAAAAGCACACTTTGATCATTTAAGTCCTTTATTGGTGAAATTGCCCCCTTCTGTGCAGTCTAGCTGCTGTAGTTCCTTCTTAAAGGGGGAATAGCCCATTTGGCTATGAAGGGACTTTTTTTTTTTTACAAATGATCCTTTGTAGCTTCTGGTGGTGGGTTGTTTTTTTTTAGGGGGATAAAAATAAACTGAACTAGGAAACATAACAGTAGTATTCTTGTGATTTTGAGCCTGGCTACATGGAGTCACGTTACCATTAAATGCAAGTATCTTTGGGGTTAGTTCAGCCAGGATCTTAATCTGGAAATAGCCAACTGTTGGATTTGCATGGTACATTTGATATTTCACTGATTCAGTTAAGTACATCCTGCAAATTGGCTGCCAATAGCTTTCCTGCATCTTGGAAAACTTGCCTGGAGAACTTGGGACTGTCCACATAAAAAGCATGTGTAATATTTTGTACAGTCCTCTTAAGAAAATATCTCTTTGTCTAACTATTTTTTACTGAATTGAGTTTGCTGATTTCCAGCTTCAATGTATTTTTCCCCATGATAATTTTTGTATGCTTAATTCTTGCTGCTGTCAATGAAATCTTTTTTCAAATGATTAATATTTTACCTACTATTCACATTTTAGAAAAGGAATTATATAAATAAGATAAAATTAATTTGGTGTTTACATTGGAGTTTTTGCGTAAGCTTAGAAACTCATTGCTTCACTGAGAAATTGTTAAATCTATGCAACTATTTGTATTTACCAAATCCTATATCAGTTAATAAAAATACAAACCAAGTTGCGGTTGGAGTACTTTACTAAACTACCTTATAATGCTTCATTACATGGAGTTCGATGTGTGAAGAGCTAAATGACCCTTCTATGGAATAAGGAGCATTTATTTGAAATGTGTATTTCAATTGGCTGCAGATGCAAAGCTGATAAAAGTTACTAGCTGAGCATGGTCATTTTTACTAGCCCCCATGAGTTCTTCAGCCTGCATGCAATTAAGAAAGCAAATATATTTTCTGGGTTGGTAGTAGAATGGAAAGGATTATCAAAAAGAAAACTTAAAAGATAATCTCATTGCAAAAACTATGTTAAAGCATTAACTCTGCTTTGGTTTCTTTAACATCTTTAAAAACATATCTTCTTCCTTCTGACCACTTACACTCTCTTTTTAATAAAAAGCCTGCTTGTATTAAAATCAACAAACCAACAAAACCAACTTATTTTCTTGACATATTGATTTTGAATAGCTATCTACGTTGTGTGCATAATATGAGCCATTAAAGTCAAGACCAAAAAAATTTACCCAGTTATGTAAATATGTATCTTATGATCATGTCTCAAGTTGAGATGAAAATAGTGTTTAATTTTTTTTTCTTTGCAGGAAAGTGTCGAAAAACTTGAACAAAACATCTTTGAATTTGGAAAGATAGTTGAAAGTTTACTAATAAGGTTTGGCAAGGTAAACATGGTTTGATCAGAATAATAAATCAGAGGGTTTTTTTATTTGTCTTCTCACTTTTTTGTTGTTATGTCCTAATCTAGGGAAATTAAATGTCTGACATCCTTCCACTAAAACACTACCATACATAAATCTGGTTGTTTTCCATAATCTGATAATTTTGAAATTAATATAGCCTACAAGATGCATATCAGTATAGCAATACAATGATTACTATATTTGTTTAAAATGATTACAATTCATTATGGCTAGTGATTATTACTGTTTTCTTTAATACTAGACTATTGTGGATGAGCAGATGGTTCTTAAAAAAGTAGCAAACATTGTTATTAATTTATATGCAATGACTGCAGTCATATCCAGGGCTAGCCGATCTATCTGCATTGGTTTGAATAATCATGATCATGAGGTGAGCTTGTTTTACATCTTAATGATATGATGAAATTAAATGTCAATATAATAAAGCAGACAAGAAGGGGGAAATTCAGATTATTTTTACTTTAATTGAAAACAAGGTTTATGTTGATTTCCAGTTATGGTATTATTTAAAAAATAATTAAAAATAATTTTCTTATGGTTATCAGCTAAATGGAGCCCCATGTACAAAGTCTGCATGTAGATATTAGAGATGAACATGCCTAGCATGTTATTTTTGATTATCCTGTGTCCACTAGCAGATGAGCTACAGTAGGCTTTTAAACACTGAATTAGTAAATTTATTCTTCCGCTAGAATTTCGATATTGAAAAGTATGTCTTAAAGCAGAGGTACCCAACCTTTTGGGCACCAGGGACCAGTTACATGGAGACAGGTTTTTCTGTGGACCAGAGGGGGTGTGGTTGTGTGTGCTGCCTGCATCCTATGGATGGGGCTTTCCTTGTTTATGCGGCCTGGTTGCTGGCATACCACGGACCGGGGGTTGGGGACCCCTGTCTTAAAGGACAAAGTCAATGTTTCAAGCTGATTGTCAGATTACAAAACCAAACATTAAACAAAATGTAAAAATAAAAGGATTTTTTTCAGAAGGTTTGAATTTATTATTAGATTCTGATTATTGTACAGGCAACTAATAAAAAAACTCTTCTATTAATCTTTCAAATTTCAGTCATGGAGTTGTTCAGCTGTGAGGCAATAGGCACTATGAAGGGTGGGGGAGGGGGAGGGGGAGAAAGACAAAGCAAGTCAGTTTCTATTTGCTAAACAGATACCTTCTGTACCTAGAGTTCAATAAGCCAATTTTGTGTCCAAACCACATATATCAGGATAACTGCATTAAAATTCTTGGAAGTACACTAATAGCTTAACTGATTTCTAGGTGCTGCTTGCAAATATTTTCTGCACTGAAGCTTGTTTTGAGAATAATTACACAATAGTATCATTACAAAAAGGTAAGTGTTGCAATTGACTTCAGTATTTCTGCTTCAGCTATAACAAAGTATCTTTAAAAATCCTTCAAGTAAAAGTTTATTCCTGGTGATTTCATGGATATGGATATGACATTTTGTTGCCATTGCTGGGAAGATGGCTTGTCATTGTCTTTCCAGGTTTTTTTTTGGGGGGGGGGTCTTCTGGATCTGGCTTATTGATCTGATACCCTCTCAAAATCTTCTATCCAATTATTAACCAGATTTGACCTTGGTCCGCTTCTGAGCCTAGATTGGCCAAGTACCGACAAGATCTGACAAGAATATGTGATTTTAGATTTTGAGACCATCAGGATTTGGGAACTTGCTATCTTTGGTTCTGGGTGGATGGCACTGCCCCACATAGACCCTGTGCACAATCCGGGGATCCTTCTAGACTCACAACTCCTGCTCAATAAGAAGCTAGGAGACCCCGTGCGCAACTTCAGGTTATGTACCAGTTGAACCCGTTCCTTTAGAACGTGGGTCAAAGCAGGCTTTTCATTTTTCCCAACAATACGTTCTTTCCCTTAATTAAGAATATGCACTTGTTGCTATCTGCTTAGCAGCTTGTATATACTGTCTTGTTTCTCATTTAGGTGTTGTCTTTAAAGGAACAATTGCTTCTGTTTCCATTATCTCTAGATTCTCCTGAAAACCTGGATGACAGCATTAAAAAAGTGGCAAATCAGGTGCTGGAAAAAAGAACTTATATTTGTTCGCACCCCCTAAACAGAACTTTCTGAAAGCTGAAAAATATTACTGGAACCAGAGAACAAACATAGTAACTGAATGTATTCAGACTGGATCCTCAGATCTATTCTTATATCTGAGGCAAATTGCATGACTAATAACATATACGGTTTCATATTCTACAGTGCAATTTTATTAAATACAATAAAGTAATAAATTACATACGCCTGCTTCCAGTTGATGATTTACTATCATCTATCTATCTATCCATTCCTTCCTCCTTCCTTCTCTCCTTTCCTTCCCAGCAATAGAAAGTACAGTTCGCTGCTGTACAATACTAAAATATGGATTCCCAATGTTTTTCATCATGGAATGAACACATACATGCAGCAGCAGCAGCAAAATCCAGCCCAGCCATATTCACACAGCACTACAGCAGCTGCTTACCTGTTAACCAGCCTTCTTTCAAGCTTTCTGAGACCTGTGACTTTCTGCTGGCTTCCATATTGACTTTGCTTGTTGGAAACCAACAGGAACTCACAAGTTACAGTCAAATGAGGTTTAACATTTAATAAGGCACAGTCCACACAATAATGGTAATAAGGACTGGTGGGATTGCTTTCACTATGCGGTATAGTCACATGATAGCACGCTTTATGAGTGCATCACTTACTGACAGTAATTCCTATCCCAATTACCATCATAACTCAAGCATTAAATAAAATATTACCAGTACATTTCCAGGGTACAGCACCTTTTATCAACTGTTTTACATGTACACTACCTACAATTATCATTTGCCACATTACCTTCATTCTCTGTTTTGCTGAGATGTGTTTCTTCAAAAATTAATCCTGTGTGGGGTACCTCTTGTAATGATATGAACGATTCTGACAAATCAGTCTGGAAAAAAGCATCAACAGACTAGAATAAACTAATGTTTAAAAGAGATTAAAATGCTAAATATTCAAGTTTCGATCGAGTAAAATTAAAATAAAGTGTTGGCTTGAGAAGTGATGGTGTAAATCCTCTCCCAAAGAGATCTTTACATCAGTCAAAGCTTCCAGCCTTCTTTACAACAGTCACAAATGCGTTTATGATTACATAATGGTTTCCTGTTTCATATTCTTCCCTTTCTATTCATTACATCTATAAATCACAAGCTTTCTTCTTCACTTTCAGTGAAAAGTCCACAAAAGAAACTCTTTAGTTTTCCAATCACAAATACAGTAATTTAGAATAAAAGTGGCGTATAGATGCGGATGTGTGTCTCGAAAGAAAAGGAATAAAAGAAAGCCTGCTTCTTGGATTATCCAAGATTCATGGTCACCAGGGAAGCGTGGCCTTGGGAGCCTGAACTGAATTGACTACAAACATTGATTTCATTAGACCTGCACATCTTGCCTTAAATCAAGGATAGGAACCTTGGCTCTTTTATGACTCGTGGACTTCATGCTGGCTCAGGAATTCTGGGAGTTGAAGTCCACGAGTCATAAAAGAGCCAAGCTTGCCTACCCGTACCTTAGATGCTAAATGGGTTGCAGAGGAGCCAGGTTTAAATATTTTCTGTTTATAGTGATCCCTTGACTAAATCCTTTGAATTTGTAACTGTTCAATAGCACACACATTCAAGTAAACGCTCGTAAAGATTTTTTGCCATTTACTTATCTGTCGGGTGACATACCTGAAATCTGCTCCTTTCAGAGTTTTAAATACATCGTGTGCCCTGTCATAGCATGGAATATTGTGGCTTGACATCAAGCTGCGGTGAATGTCAGCACCAGGAACAAATCCTTTACAGGGACTGCACTCTTCCATGTTACCTAAAACTCCCAGAACTGGAAGAGACTAAAACGAGAAAGATTGGGATTTACAAGAATGCTGTTTGATTTTATTTTTCCTCAAGAGCCTCGGCATAAATTTAAATATGTTAGAAGATTATAGCCACACAATATATCTGCAACATCTTTGGACTATTTCGGCAGGCAGTGATGATGAAACTGTTGGTGCCTGATTAACAGAGTGGTGTTTAATCCAGAAATTAGAGCAACAGATGCTTACAAAATATTTGCAATTCTTCAATAATCAATTTTGTTAATTTTTTATGCCATCCATCTCTCCTATAAGACAACTCTGGGCGGCTTACAGATTATAAAAAGATAAATTGAAAAGTGATTAAAATGTTAAAACTATACAAAAACGAGGACTAAGATTTACCTGCATCTTTAGAGCTAACTTGACTGGTTTATCCTTCAGGAGACCCTGAAGGCGAGCAACTTGACAGCTGGCTTTGGGTCCACTAGAAATAAGCTCTGTTGCTGGGCAGCACCGATGAACTTTCAGCCCAGTATTAAAGGACGCTTGTATCTTAGGCTCTTTTGTTCAGATGCACCAGTTGAATAATGGCACAGAAAAGACATTGTAAGAAGAGTGTCAGTCAGATCCTTACATCTAAATAATTCTGTTAACTCATTCAATTCCAATTAACTTTTAATAGAATTTCTGGCTTAATTCTGGAATTAGATCTAGAATAAATGTGAGACACTATAAAAATCTAGAAATTAGTAGCAGTGAGGCTACATAATACATTAAATGTAAGCGTACTCACATTTAACACAATGTGCTCGTATTTTAGTGAACAAACCATAATCTTCTTAAGTTAGATAAGAAATTTTAAAAACCCAAATATAAGAAACTATACAACCCACTGTAAACCTTTTTACCCCCAATAGAAGACTCTTAGAGAAACATTATCCATGCTGATCTTTGTCTATATCTATCTACATATCTATTACCAATATGATCCATCCTATCTATCTATCTATCTATCTATCTATCTATCTATCTATCTATCTATCTATCTATCTATCTATCTATCTATCTATCTATCTCATATTAATCTTAGTTCAGTGAATAACCAACATTGAGCATCACTAAGGAAACCTATCTAGGCATACCCTTTTTGAGAAGGGTAGCTTTTGCTCAATATTATAGCTGAATGGCATATATGGCCTGCATGCTATGCTCCAACTATGCAGGACTGCAATTCAGTGATATTTGGAAGGTCATAAGAATTTCTGCCTTTGAGACAATCTCCCAGACATCACTGCTAGGACACTTACAGGTCTGGAAGGAGAAGTAGATCAACTACACAAATTACCACGTTGCCTTTAAATACTATAGCAATGTTACAGGAGGAGTCCAGAGAAGAGCACATCCCAATGCTTTGAGGTGAGAAAAAGCTGCCCTTCTCAAAAAGCTTGCCTAGAAAAGTTGCTTTGGTGATGCTCAATGTTGGTTATTCACTGAACTCAGATTAATATTATTAACTTCAGTCAAAACTGACCAGTAAATATTCTCTGTAACAGTATACCTGATTTGGATTTCTAGGAAAGTATAACAACTGTGAGTATCTAGAACTGCCCTGGAATGGAATCTAGTGCCTACCTTCTCTACAAGGGTCAGGAACCGGGTTTTGGACTACAGGCTTTTGGTAAAGCTCAAAATCAGCATACCGTTTGTCCCATCTCCATCTATCCCGATCCAGAACTGGCTTCATAAAACTAGCATTGAAAAAATTCTCCTGCCATTTCTAAATGAAGAAAGGAAACATAATAAATTTATCAATTTATTTTATTTATATCCCATCTTTATTATTTCTGCAAATAACTCAAGGGGAGGGGTGAACATAACCTAATACTCCTTCCCTCTCCTGTTGGGGGCTTCTCCAGAAGAAGCACCCTGTGAGATAGTTTGGTTGAGAGAGAGAGAGGGGGGTCCACAGTTGCCCAGCTGGTTTTTATTAAATTAAAAGTCCTAAAAACTCCTAACTGCAAAATGTGCCAATGACAGCAAGCATCTTGAATGTTTTTCAAATTCAGAATAGGCTGATTAGTGATTTGAAGCAGCTTAAAATTATTAATTATTTTTACCCTGGCCCCTTGTGTGTGTGTATGTGTGTGTATTTTCAGAAGTTGTTTTTCCTTGCCTCCTCCCTAGGGAATGAAAGGGAATGACTGCCTCAAGGTGACCAGCTGACTTTGTACCAAGGTGGGACTACAACTCCCAATCTCCTAGTATTTAGCCTAATGCCTTAACCATGTTCTAATTTGTTTTGTATTATATTTTATGTATGTATGTATTTGTGTCTGTGTGTATAGTATTTTGTGCGTGTGTATGTGTATATGTGTGTGCGCAAATATATGTGTGTGTGTGTGCATACACACACACACACATATAGATATAAATATTTTGCTTACTCCTGGGGGAGGGAGACAGTAATCTTAAATTAAAAATCATCTTTCTTTTAGTTTTTGGTGGTATCTTTGCCACAGATTGATTTGAAGCAGAAACATGGGAAAATTTAACCTCAAATAATGATTTTCGAAAAGCTTTTAGAAAACAAAACTATTGACATCTCTTTGAATTGTACTATTCAAAGCCTTTTGGGCCACCACTCAATTATCATCAGTTCTTTTTATCCCTGTTTATCATTGTCCACCATTTTAATACCCTATCAAATGTATATGTCAAAATATGCTTTGGACAACAGAAATAACCGATTAGAACAGTGGTTCTCAACCTGTGGGTCGGGACCCCATTTGGGGTCGAATGACCATTTCACGGGGGTCGCCAAACAACGCAATCTGCCATTTTTCCCCCCTTTTCCTTAGCTGTGCTACTCCCTTTTATTCTTTGGCTTTTGAAAGCCAATAGAAGAGACTCTCTTGAATAGAGTCTAATTCTATTGGCTTTCCAAAGCCAATAGGAATTGTCCAGGCTGTCTCTGCCCTGCTGAGCCCGCCAAAAGTCCCATTCTGCAAACGGGGCTGCACCCGTTGAGTAGTCCTCAACTTATGACCGGTTGAGTAGTCCTCGACTTACGACCGGTTGGGGGGTCGCGGCATTAAAAAGGTTGAGAACCACTGGATTAGAACAACTGATTTCTGTATAGTATTAGTGAAGAACCTTGAAATGACTGTGACCCTGATGCAAATCAAAATGTTTATTTTCAGGAAGTTTTAGAAAATCTGTGTTGAGTAGTGAACCTGTTTGTCTATAGAAAATAAAGTTTTGAACAAAGTGAATTGCTTTTATCTGGGATAAGGAATGGGAAAGAAAATGCAACAGCAATTGCCATTGTAGGTTCCATGGCCACTGTAAAATCGCATGTGTCAAGCCCCTCAAATCATTTTCGGAGCGCTGCTATTCTGTTGGGAGGGGGGGGGAAACTTTTCCTCTGTTGGGAGGGAGGAGATTGTGGGCTCTGGGATGTGTTTCTTCTGCTTTGTTATTTCAAGCTTTGATGTATCTCTTTGGGTGTGAAAGGGGGAGGAATGTGCATAGGGCTACCTGCCTTGTCTCTGCTACACTGAGAAGATGCAAGGCCTGGGAACAGAGTTTTATCACTCCTTCAACTGCCAGTTCCCATAACAACTTCACACCTGTGGATTGGCTGGATTTAGACTGGGCAGTTGGATACCTGGGAGGAGTTTTGAAGAGGGGTTTAATGTAATGTTTCGCACGGGAATTATTCAGATCTTGCCTAGCCTTTCTGCTTTCACTATCTCTCAATAAAAGTTCCTGTTGCAACAATGGCAAGTTTCAAGAGTTCTGTTTTCTTGGGAGTATTTAGCTGAGGCAGAACTTTATAGCGTGGTCCAAGAAAAACAAAAACAATGTTAGGAAAAAAGAAAAAATATTTATGTAGTATTTGACAAATGAATGTGGCTGCCCATAATATAACTCTCCTCAATTTAAGGATCTTTAGTATCTTCCATATGTTTCATGGAGAGATCCAGAGACCAGCCTTTGGTCCTGATCAGTTATAATCATGCATGCACTGAAATACCAATTAGATGTGGAGGTGTCTCATTACTGTTCTCACATATTTAACAGAAAAAATCTAGGTATGTTTACCCACACATTGTGTTTACCCAGAAATAAATACTGAGTTCACTGAGTCTTTTTCCTAGGAAAAACAATGAAGTCTAAATCTTAATATCTCTGTAGATATTGCTTACTATCTGCAGAAGAATCTGAAATTAAATAATATAAAAACAGCTACTAATTTGCTTATTCAAGCAGCATATCACTCCCTTTTCTTTATCCCTGCACTTCAATAAGTGAAGTGAAAGTGAAGTAAAAAAAAAATTCAAATCCGCTGTGAAGTGTATCCTGTTCACAAGAGTTAAGGAAAACAAAGAGACTTACTAAATGTGGATTGGACTCTATATTTAAACAATAGGTAATAATGATGATGATGATGATAAAGTTGGAAGGGACCTTGGAGGTCATCTAGTCCAACCCCCTGCTCAGGCAAGAAACCCTATACCATTTCGGACAAATGGCTGTCCAGTTTCTTCTTAAAAACTTCCAATGTTGGACCATTCACTGCTTCTGGAGGCAGGTTGTTCCACTGGTTAATTGTTCTAACTGTCAGGAAGTTTCTCCTTAGTTCTAGGTTGCTTCTCTCTTTGGTTAGTTTCCACCCAGTGCTTCTTGTCCTGCCTTCAGGCGCTTTGGAAAATAACTTGACTCTTTCTTCTTTATAGCAGCCCCTGAGATATTGGAACACTGCTATCATGTCCCCCCTCGTCCTTCTCTTCGTTAAACTAGACATACCCAATTCCACCAACCGTTCCTTATATGTTTTAGCCTCCAGTCCCCTAATCATCTTTGTTGCTCTTCTCTGTACTCTTTCTAGAGTCTCAACATCTTTTTTACATCGTGGTGACCAAAACTGGATGCAGTATTCCAAGTGTGGCTTTACCAAGGCATTGTAAAGTGGTTTTAATACTTCACGTAATCTTGATTCTATCCCCGTTAATGCAGCCTAGCACTGTGTTGGCTTTTTTGGCAGCTGCAGCACACTGCTGGCTCATATTTAAATGATTGTCCACTAGGACTCTGAGATCCCTCTCACAGTTACTACTATTGAGCAAGGTACCCCCTATACTATACTTGTGCATTTGGTTTTTCTTACCTAAATGTAGAACCTTACTTTTTTCACCATTGAATTTCATTTTGTTAGATAGCGCTCAGTGTTCAAGTCTGTCCAGATCCTCCTGTATCCTGTCTTCTGGAGTGTTGGCTATTCCTGCCAGCTTGGTGTCGTCTGCAAATCTGATGAGTTTCCCATCTATTCCCTCGTCCAGATCATTGATGAAGATGTTGAAGAGCACTGGGCCCAGAATAGAGCCCTGGGGCACCTCACTACACACTTCCCTCCATGTAGATTCAGTTCCATTGAGGACCACATGCTGAGTATGGCCAGTCAGCCAGCTACAGATCCATCTGGTGGTAATGCTGTCTAACCCACATTTTTCTATCTTATCAAGTAGTAGGCTATGGTCTACTTTGTCAAATGCCTTACTGAAGTCTAAGTAAATTATATCCACAGCATTTCTCTGGTCCACTAATTCTGTCACTTGGTCAAAGAAAATGCTACACTAAATTTAGCAATAATATCAATACAAATCAAGCATAACCTGATAAGCATATACTACTGATCAACTTCTCTGCAGAAATTTGCTTCATATCCTCACAACAATAAAACATCTACCAATAACATTGGAGTGAGTTTCAAGTCTGAATTTAGTCTCAATTAATCTGGCCTGAGACAAATATCAATTCTTGAATTTTCCTCACAGTGTAGCGATGAAGCATGCTGTTCCTAGTAGATGATAAATATAGCAAGTTGATAGGAATCTAAAACTTATAGTTACCTCTCTTAATTCTATCACTCGTGCCTCATCAGGCCTACGGGGATGTTTGTTGGAGTCTGCGCTGCTCTTAAATCCAGGATTTGCAAACCCTCCAGGATACAACCACAATTTCTTTGACAGTTGAATACATTCTTTTAATATGCTGTCCTCATCCACTGGGTCAAACATACCTGACAGATATTCATTATAAGCAAATCTTTTTCCTGGCATCTAAAAAAAGCACACACACATATATAATTATATTTATATATGCACACATTGTACATACACACACCCTGAACTTTAGTGGAATTCATCATACAGCAATGCAGAGAACAGCCTTCTCCAACTTGCTGTCATTCGTACTGCAATACTACAACTACTCGTACCTCAATCAACAAGGTCCAAACGTCTAGAACAGACATGTCAAACACAAGGCCCGCGAAGTGGTTTCATGTGGCCCGCGAAGCCATCCTGGAAACAGTGAGGGAATGGTCCCCGCTGCCTTGGCCCTGGCCCAGGCCGGCCGGGAGCCAATGTACAATTTTGCGGTGGCCATCTATGCTGAAATGCATTCAGTCTTAGCTCCACAAGGCTGTCTGGAAACAGTGAGGAACCAACCCCTGCTGTGTCAGCCCCACCCCCTGGTGCATGCTGGGGAGGTGTCACCCTTTGTGAGGAATGAAGAAATGCCCATCACCTGGAAGTGGCCAGCAAATGGCCCTCACATATCTGGCTTGATGGGCTCTGGGGGAGGGGTTTCGGCAGGCAGCGGGGTGCTCTCCTCACAGCACCGAGAGGCTGAGCCAGATGGTGCAAATCCAAAAAGAAATGCGAGGCCGCCAAGCTCCCAGCCTGCCTGGTTTCAGCAGACAACGGGGCGCTCTCCTCACAGCGCCAAGAGCTGAGCTAGGTGGCACGAATCTGATGAGAAGTGCAATGCTGCCTAGCCCCCAGCCTACCCAGTTTCAGCAGGCAGCAAGGTGCAAAGTTGGCAAGCTTCGCACCGCCCAGCTCAACCTCTCGGCACTGTGAGGAGAGCGCCCCACTGCCTGCTAAAACCACGCTCACCCAGTAGGCCACACCCACTCTATCCACGCCCACCCAGTAGGCCACACCCACTCTGGTCACACACCCCGGCCCCCCTGAGGGCAACCACAATGCTGATACAGCCCTCAATGAAATTGAGTTTGACAGCCCTGGTCTAGAATATACAATAATACTGATCCCAACATATCTGGAGAATATCACATTTGCATGCCTTTGTCTGATTCTGAATTAACTGAAGTAAATTCAAAAACTGTTAACAAATGAGGGTGAAGGTTCATTCTCTGAGCTTGTGGGTTGGTTTCCATTCCGAACATTTCATTACCAGGCTAGGTAACAACTTCAGTGGAGTTTAGATGTCAATGTCAGTGTTCTTAAACAGAAGAACACTGACACTGACATCCCCTAAACTCTGCTGAAGATGTCACCTAGCCTGGCAATGAAATGTTTGGAAACCAACCCAGAAGCTCGGAGAACGAACCGTCATCCTCATCCTACATCCGAGCGACAGATATCCACCACTACTGCAAAATGTTAACGAAGTTTAATACTTCCATTTTCAAACATTTAAGCATGTAATGGATGACTGTCGGTAGTCTTATTTATTTTTATCTCATACCCAGAAAACTACTATTCTTTACACTTCTTCTCAAGTCACTTTTCTCCTCTCTCCCCTCACTGAGGCAGCCCAAATTTTGAGGACCACTAGAGGCACATCAGTATCTAGCTCTCTGCTCTCCAATTTGGAATTTCAGCAGTCCTGGAACAACATGCCTAGACTATTAGACGTTTCAATGTAGATTTCTAGGAAAAAACATGAAGAAAATTTAAAGACAAATCTTGTTTCCTTGCCTTTGCCATTTCTTGTCGAAGTAGCTTCTTTGCAATTTCTGCTGAATTTAATGCCTGACAACTATAGTTAAAGATAGCATTTTCACCAAAAGGGAAAGCTCTGATAGTTCTCGGGATCTCTCTTTCAAATATCTCATTGAGGAAATTCACATATTCAATATTGGACTGAAAGACATATAAACATGTAAAATTACGAAAATATCAGTAATTAGACTGGCAAATACAGAACACATATTTCCATTAAGCATTAGAACAGTAAATTAAAATTAAACCTGTCCTCTCTGCCAATTTTCTGAAAAAGGATTTCCTAAGATGCTACCTTAAAGGCAATATTCTGTAGGTAACAGAAAAGTAGAAGCCCAATTCTATTTGTGAATGAACATTGTCTTGCTGACTGCTAGCAGCCAATCGCTTTTAGTTTAGATAACAATTCAATTGTATCTCTCATACAAAATTAGTTATGATATTATGTTAGAAGTAAATGGTTAAATTAAAAAAAACCACAAACAGTCCTAAAAGCAATTCTTCAAACATTTGCAATAATTGGATAGTACTTTATAACAGGGGTCCTCAACCCCCGGGCTGCAGTGCACTACTGGGCAGCAGCCTGCTTGAAACCGGGCTGCACGAGTGATGGGCCAGCAGGCGCATGTGCGCAAATCTCCACTCACACGAGCGGAGGATGCAAGTGGAGAAAGCTTGTACTTGCATGTGAAGCTCCATTCACATGAATGGAGCTTTGCAGACGAGCACTCTCCGCTCACGCAAGTGGACCTTTGCACATGAGCATAAGCACCTTCAGTTCACATACAAAGTTCCATTCGAATGGAGGACGCATGTGCCCGCCACTCACACCAATGGAGCTGTGTGCATGCACATGTGCCTACAGTTCACACATCCTCTCCTCCCTGCACCGGGCCAGGCCACCAAGGTGAGAAGGTTGAGGATCGCTGCTTTATAAGACAACTATGTGTCTTAAGGGATGAAAGTACTTCTCCCTTTAAGCTGGCATCTTATGAATTGTCAGGCCTAGCATAATTATGCTAAACACAAATCCTCAGATTTGTTTTTTGAGAAAATACTATTTTTAGGACACAATTGCTTCCATACAAACAAAAATACCAGTAGTTTGCCCTTCGATTACAGGTACTCCTCGACTTACAACCATAATTCAGCCCAAAATTTCTGTTGCCGAGTGAAACATTTGTTAAGTGAATTTTGCCCAATTTTGCGACCTTTCTTGTCATAGTTGTTAAGTGGATCACTGCAGTTCTTAAGTTAGTAACACGGTTGTTCAGTGAATTCTGGCTTCCCCATTGACTTTGCATGTCAGATCAAAAAAGGTGATCACATGACCCTGGGACCCTGCAACGATCACAAATATGAGTTAGTTGCCAAGCATCCGAATTTTGATCCCGTGACCATGGGGATGTTGCAGCAGCCATGTGAAAAGTGTGAAGCAGTGTGAAAAATGACCATAACTCACTTTTTCAGTGCCGTTGTAACTTTGAATGGTCACTAAAGGCGAGGTAGCGCAGCAGTTAGAGTGCAGTACTGCAGGCCACTTTAGCTGGCTGTGTTCAGCAGGTCAGCGGTTCAAATCTCACCGGCTCAAGGTTGACTCAGCCTTCCATCCTTCCGGGGTAGGTAAAATGAGGACCCAGATTGTTGGGGGCAATGTAAAATATATATATACATTGCTTACTGGTGTACACCGCTTAGAGAGTGCTTGCACTTAAAGCGGTATATAAGTCTCATAAATAAATAAATAAATAAACTGTTGTAAATCAAGGACTACCTGTACTAGAAAAATTACCCTCTGAATAAGTGTCTGGCCAAATAGGATGATGTGGTTGAAGGCTGCATTAGATTTACCTCACAAGAACAGATTCGCTGAATACAGAAATCATTCACAAATGTATTCCCGAATCCATTAAGATTATATAGAGATTGTACTTGATCAAATTTTCTGGAATGGAGACATTACTTTCACGTGGGCTCCAATCTGCATGCTAAGGAACCAGTCAACTTACGGTCCCAATTGGGACTGGGACTTCTATCATTAAAAAGAGATGCAGTTCCTAAGTGAACAATGGCCAATTTTACAACCTTTTCCCCTGAGAATGTTATGGGAATCTGGCTTCCCCACTGATGTAGCTTGTCAGACGTTTCATGGGAAGGTCAAAAATGGTGCTCACCAGGATGCTATAATCATCATAAATACACACCGGTAGCCAAGTACCCAAATTTTAATCACGGGCATACTACAACAGTTGCACGAAGACCAATTACAAATCACTTTTTTTCAGCATCGCTGTAACTTCAAAAGGTTGTTAAATGGATGGTTGTAAGTTGAGGACTAACTGTATGTGCAGCTGTATGGCATAAAAAAAGGGGGGAGGGAACCTGCATAACAGAAGCTGGCCATCTGGTGATGAGCCCCACCCAGCACAGCTAAAAATTCACCTTAATAAAATCTGTACAGGTTGCCAATTCTTTCTGCGAGGCTATTTTCACTGCTGCGTTTCACCCACCTGGATATAATTACGTGGTGCCTGGCTCTCTTGTTCTTTTTTTCTCAGTACATACTTCTTGTTGTGGTTATCCAAGTGAGAACACCCATACTGCCTCATGCTTGGATCCTTTTGCATTTTATTGAATGATTCCAAGATCTCTGGGGGCTCCCTTGCATACATATCAGCTTTAGTCAAGGGAACCCCAAACTCCTGACTCAACATTGTAATCATTTCTGCTGAAGGCAAGAGATTGTAATGGATCACTTCCCTTAGCTTCTTACTGTGGCAGATGTAATCAAGTCTGCAGTGTGGAAAGAAAGAAGGAACAACTGAAGATCAACGCTGTAATTTAAATAAGGGAACTATTAGTTTGTTTTTAACCTGACTACTCTTCGTTTTAAATTTTTCACCTTAACTGTACTGTTGAAAAGCAGATTGCATCTCTTTTTAATAAATAAAAAAAAATCACACAGCAACAGATTACTTTGGACCAAGAATTGAAACAGTGAAACCAATCACACTAACAATGAATATGAAACAAATACAATGATTACTATGTCTATTAACTACTGTCCAATCTGATGCATTTGCAGGTAAACTTAGAACTTCTCCAGTTGAGTTATGGAAAGTTTATATTAAGTATTTATTAAATATAAATATTGTCTACTGTTTATTTTTCAATATGTCAAATCATTTGCAGAACTCCTGCTCCACTCTTTTCGGATGTAGCACTGAGTACTTGTGTCCTCATCAGTTCTACAGAGGTTCCAGGTAGCAAGAAATCACATCTGGACCGGGAAGGGATCAGATTATGCCAGTGTTTCCCAAACTTGACAATTTTAAGGCATGTGGACTTCAACTCCCAGAATTCCACAGCCAGCATTGCTGGCTGTGGAATTCTGGGAGTTGAAGTCCTCATGCCTTAAAATTGTCAAGTTTGGGAAACACTGGATTATGAATTCAGAGACAAAACAAAACCCACTGTACATTCACCTGAGTCAGACTGAGACTACTTGGGACAGACCTACCGCTATCGTGGAGGCCATAAAATCTGCGTTCTGCCAGACCCTCACCCCAACCCATGATAAATCCTTACCATACTCAACTTCTAAAACTACATAATTTGTATGCCACAATCTAACAAAGCTGTAACCTGGAAAGAGCTTCAAAACACGGCTGAGGAACCATATCCCTGATATATAACAAAGGTTGTTTCATGATGCTCGACAGTGGCTTGCAGAGACGGATGTGAAGCAGGATAGCTTCAAGATCTATATACAGCCGCTTGTGAAAAGACAGGTTTGAATTATAGAATATCTGTAATCTCCCATGTTCTGTTTCCTGCACCCTGTAAGATAGGAAATTGGACTACGTTAACTAATAAAGCCCTCATTTCTTCTGTGGAATTTGACTTTTAAAACACAGATACAAATCCTGTGAAATAAGTAATAAATCTCTGTACTGCATATCAGTTTTCTACAATTTTTCCAATAAAACTACTCTTGTGTAAAAGCAACATGAAGACACAAACGGCATTCCTGAAAAAGTAAATCCCAGCAAAATAAATCACAGTATTTTTAAAGAGCATAACTAAGGAAAACCTGCACCAACCATGGTTTACTGGTCTGAAACATGCATTTCTCGTCATTTGAGACCAGTCCATATATAAAAATAGGGCTTGCTGAGTTGGGGGAAACTGAAGCCAATTAGAATTATGAACTTTTCCAGCTGCTTTAGGCCATTTACATGCAAACCTAGATCTCTGCTTGCGAAGGATTGCTGCAATAATTAACATCTAGCTACTGCCAAACTCAGGATATTTAACATTCTGCAGAAATAAAGGCGAGACTATAAATGAAGTACTCAGTTCAGCTTTCTTCCTTGTGGTTGTACTAATACTATGTTGGAACAAACTGCATTTTAACTCTGAAAATATAGCAAATATCTACTCCTATCTATGCACTTCCTATTATGCTGATACAGAAATTTGCATATAAAACAAAAGGTGTGCATCAAAAAGCAAGTATAACATGAAGCTTTGGGCTCAAAAGGCATTCCCTTTGGTGTGAATGAGGAGGGCACTTGCCACTTTAATACATTCAAGTATAGTTTGGTCTAAATATTGTGTCCTGTTAAACTACGTATCATATGTGTTGTGAGACATTCTGTTCTTTTTAAAATAGATATGTGTAACAGGCATAGGAACAGGGGGAAGAGCTGCAACCAAAGGCGAGAGTCAGACAAAAGGAATGTGAGTCTTGTGCATAAGTGTAATTTGAAAAAGCCTCTTAAGACTTGATCTTCCCTAGTTCTGGTGAAGATAAAGAGGGAGTGGGGAGGCACATTCAGACTTGCAAGGTTCTTTTACTGTAACCTTGTAATAAAAAGTAGTACCGTAGTAGCCTGCACGACTTTAGTTTCGTAGTTTGGGCTACCTGGAAGAGTTGACAAATATTTCAGCACCAAGGATCATCGCAATATTTCCTGGTCCTGCACAATAATAACATCATACAAGTAGAAGAAAGCTAGCTTTTTCCACTGTGTCTTAAGTCAGTCTTGTACTGTAAAATTTTAATCTAACAGTGTAGCAAAAGCTGATCTAACTGCTTGGCTTTGTCTTTGAAGGTGATGCATATTAAAGATACATTTATCTTTCTCTGGACTGTGCAGCTGAACTATCATGATTAATCCTTGCAAAAAAAAAAGGGGGGGGGAGACCGGAACATCAATATCCTACACTTAAAATATTTTAAACCTTTTTTTTTTTTATGAACACTGTGGTCATCTCTGAAGGCTGAATATGACAGAATAAGTTACAAGTAAAGGTAAAGAAAAAAGTTTCCCCAGTCCAATCATGTCTTGCTCTAAGGGGTGATGCTCAACTCCACTTCTTAGCCAAGGGAGCCAACATTGTCCGAAGACACTTCCATGGTTATATGGTCAGCATGACTATACGCCCAAGGACACAGAATACCTAATTATCTACTCACATTTGCATACTATTGAACTGCTAGGTTACCTGGAGCTGAGGCAAGTAATGGTAGCTCACCCCGTTCTGCAGCATTCAGGTCTCAAACCTGAGCTATCAGCTTTCCAGCTGACAATCTCAGTTTCTTTAACCACTGAGCCATTGTCTCCCCCCCCCAGGTTAGAAGTAACTAAGTTTACATTCACATTCACATACTTCTGGTTTTGTTTTGTTTTTAGAATTAGCAAAGAAATGTGTGCTGTAAATGTACAAACTCAGTGTCAAAAGAATAGTCTAAATATGTCATATTCTTCTTAGGTAGAAGATGACTAGTGCTAAAATAAAACCATTTCCCTAATTAATAGAAGCATTAACTGCAATACAAAAGTTTTCATCCAAGGTATAATAGATAAAGTACAGCTTTATAAGACTCTTATTCCTCCCAAACGGCTGGCAGACAATCCCTAACTCCCTGAAAAGTGTCAATTTAGATTGAAGTTATGGGGAGGGAGGGAAAGAACTGTGGGTTCCCTATCCACCCACACTCCAACCCATGTGTAAATCCTGAACTACATCAGGTCACTTGATGCCTAGCATCTCCTTTCAAAAAGCAATGGATATAAATGTGAATTGTGTAAAATAGAATCTTTTGTACCTAAGAGTCATTCAGCTTTATGAATTCCACCATTCCTAGGAAAAATGATTTGGTTACAGTGGGTTCCTAACATACAAAATAGAGATGTTCAAAATATCCAAATAACTCAAAGATTAGATAGATAGATAGATAGATAGATAGATAGATAGATAGATAGATAGATAGATGGGTGGGTGGGTGGGTGGGTGGATGGATGGATATAAATATGATAGATGATAGACAGATGATATATAGAGATGATAGATAGATAGATAGATAGATAGATAGATAGATAGATAGATAGATAGACAGATAGATTATATAGATATTTCAAATATCAGAGAAAGTCTAAATATAACAAATATAAAAAGCTACCAATTTCTACAGCACTATTCCTTTTTTAAAAAATGTTTAGGCATAATTCATTCTAATATACTGTTTCAGTATGCACAATTATTTTAAAAAAAACATCAGGGCACATTTGAGCCACCGTCTAAGAGAGAAAAATCTAATACTTCTGTTTATAAATCTATGGAGTGGGTCACCTATGAAATGTTCACAGGCTGAGCATTTGGAGCACCAGGGACACTTGACATCACTTCTGAATTTTATCACCATTACTATGTTAGGATGTAACATCTTGTAAACTACCTTCAGAAGTAGATAACCACAGGAAAAAGTAATTTTAACAGTAAAATTGTGTTGATTACCTATCAATTTTTTTATTCCACATCCTCTTAAGTGCTTTATTTCTGAAACCTTCCAGGACCAGAAGGTGAATGGACCCGTCAATTATGTGAAACCCAGTAATAATATCTAGCAGAGAAATCTCTTCTAAGGAAAGTTTGTGATTCAGTTTCAAAGTATTAAGAGATTTTTGAGTTGTATCTATGGGATAGGAATCAAGTAGGAAAGCCTCTGCATTAATTTCTGTAATCTCCTGCATCAAATAGTGTAAGAATGATGTATTATTATAATCAAAAAGATAAATGATGCAGCCATATGGACAATATGCAGCAGCAGCAGCGCCCTCTTCCTCTGCAGGACCTAATGGTACACTTATTTCAACTCTCACTTTAAGGTATGACTCAGCATTTACATAATTCCCATTTGGAAATTGAACAACCTGAGAGTCATCTGTTTTCTTAGCCCCTGGACTGGTGTTTTGTCCATGGAATAGAGATGTATCTTGAACTGAGCTGTTGTGAATTGGTGCACAGAAATTCAAGGTCTTTTCCCCTAGCAATAAATTGCTCAAGTTGATTTTAGTTACTCCATACAGGCTACAAATATTTTCTTTGGCTGTAATGGAATTCTGGACCATGTATCTCGAAGTGACATAGCTTATGTCACTTAGCTTGCTGTCTCCTGGTTCTTCTCCAAACAAAGATGGCGTCATCTTGAGATCTTCCATTTTCTTGTCTCGGTCATGAACTTCAATTTCTAAGTCTGGACCTCTTAGGTATTCACTGAATTTTCCAGGGTCTATTGCTCCTACAAGAATCACATTGATATCTTTAAAGAAGACATCAGTTCCATGATCTCGACCTTGTGTATAATGGGGACACATATTGTAGAAAGTGTATTTGCAGTAAACAGGAGTGCAGGTTCTCTATAAAAGCAAAGTAACAGTATAAATATTTAGTATAAATACGACTTGTTGATTCTAAGTTTATTTAGTATACAAATAACCGATTGTCAAAATACAATCAAAAAGAAAACATCAAAGAAATTAAAGTAGGGGAAAAAAGCAATGATGGTCCAAGAGGGATGGTTGCATGGAGAACACTCCAAGCACACATACCTAAGCAAGTGTTCTCTAATCTAACAACTGAAAAAAAGCTTGTGTTCATTCACATCTCACATGGCAAGATACTTGATATATCAACTTCTGAAGATAATGTCCTGTTTCAGGTTTCAAACATACACACACAGTTGCTAGGAACTTGAGTTGCTTGAGTATGAACAATCAAAGGAACATAAATCAATCTCTGAAGATAAGGTAGTTTCACTTTCCACAGAAATACGTAGAATAATCAAAAATCCAAAATTGAGAGAGCCAAGCAAGATGTGTCATCCTTTCCAAGGATGGGAGTTTTAGATTGCTTATAAAGCAGATGGCAACAACATGGTCAGATACAGGAAATCAGACCATTGTTTCCAACATGGAAACCTAAGTCAAAGCTGCCTCTCCAATAAGGCTAAAGCCAGCTGTGTCTAAAGCATATATATTCTTGATTGGCAAGAAGCCTTACTGAGCATCTTTGCTATGAGCTCCTCTACTCTCCAAGTACAAGTGCTTAGAAGCTGTATATCAACATCTGGTTATTCTGATTGGGCCTATATTTGATTAGCCTCAAATGATTCCTGCCTCAATGTGCCCTGATTCTGGCATTCAATTGGTTCAACTAGAGTAGCTTCTCTGGACTCTATCTGAGTCCCAGGCCATGACACACATGGTGATAGAATATTAAGCTAAGCACTTAAGTCACAAGTTTCTGTCTTATCTAACACACTAATAGTATCTATTTATGAAATCTAGGTCAGACTGGGAACCGAAATGGGATGTCACTGGTATGTTAACAATACATTTTTATTTTCTTTTTCATCTGATTCAGATGTGATGCTAGCTATTCTTAAATGGAACAAAAGAATCCTTACATTAATCAAGTAGAAGAGTAAATTCATGATGAATTAAGGGAATAATGATTTAAGAGAATATGTTGTTCTTTTCTTCAGGGATTTATCTGTTTTAGTACAGAGAATGATTAGGGATGAGTGATATAAATACTTTGGAAGACAGAACAAGCAGCAGACAATTAAGCAAGTAGATGGTAGAAAAACTGTTATCCTCATCAGCAACAAGGACCTTGAAAACACAATTGGATCAAAAGACTGCAAATTATCAGAATTACAATGTGAAAATAGATTTCTGTGCTCATTCTAGATCTAAATTGTGAAGGGGAAACAAGAGGAAATTCTACAGCACTTAAAATTCAGGACATCCTACTATAATGGACAATGGTTGATGTCTAACATCAGCCAGTTGCAAGAGCCATCATGTCTATGCTAGTTTGACGAGTGAGATATATAGTAGATCCATAACTTAGCAGTTAGTGTGGACACACTGGAGAGGTACCAATAAAGGAGAATATTTGTAGCTCAGAGTTGAAATGAGGGGTTCTTGGCATTCCCTGAGCCTGGCTGTTTTCTTGAAGATGTTTCATTACTCAAACTAGATAACTTCATCAGTGCTAATCCTGTTTTTTACTTTGTAAAAAAACCACATCACTAGCAGTGTTGATGTTACCTAGTTTGGGTAATGAAGCGTCTGCAAGAAAACCACCAAGCTTAGAGAGCACCAAGAACCCTTTATACTGCAGTAGGAATTGGATATGAGGATATGAGAGGATTGGGGAATAAGAAGTCCTCCCCCACCCTAGGTCAAATAGGATATAAAGTGGAAACAAAACAACAATAATAATGGCAGTATTAGGAAGGATTGAAGTGGCTTTTAGTGAAAAAATATAGAACGAAGAATTGAATGTTTATGAAGGATAAAGCTTTCTAAATAAATTTATCTGGAGACAGAAACGCAGAACAGAGAGGAAAGGAGAATGAGAGGATCCTTTGCTGGGTGATTAAAAAAAGATAAAGAGGCTTCATTCAAAGCTCTTTTAAATCAGACTGAAAAACAATCAAATGAAAAATAACCTTCAAGAGTGGTCCCTGTGTTACAAAAGCCGTAGTCAAGGTTTCCCCTACAAGAAAATTACTATAAGGAGGCCTAGTGAGTGCCTGTGCATTAGAAAAAAATTAAAGTTTCCTACATTTCATTTCAGGACATTTATATATAAATTTATTTATAAATACTCTACAAATCCAGAAACAAAAGACATTTAAAATTTATTGTTTTGCTCCAGAATACTCTCTATTATCACGATGTAGAACCAAAAAGAATTACCTGCAACTCTTCAATTGGAACGGGAGTATTTGGTAGACATTTTGCAGACTTAATCTTAATAATCAGTGGATTTAAGTCATGTTTGTGTTTCTCGCTCATAATAGGTTTGTCTATAGCAAAACCTAAGTATGCTTCATTAAGTTTGGGGGAATTCTCTTCCCATCGACTGACTATATAGCATTCACCTGCAGATGGACAAAAGAATCGGAATTATTTATAACTGTTCAGATAAAAAAATGTAAAGTCTGTTAGGTTGAGCCTGATCCTTGCTGTCTTCATGGATAAGACCATGTATAATTGTTTTGCAAAAACACTAAAATGGGTTGTCTCTGTCTGCCTCCAGGATGTTTTTTCCCACCAGACTTCCTCTACCTTGTCATTCCCAAGTGTTCCCCCAACCGATTACTAACTAGGGCAGTGATGGCGAACCTTTTAGAGACCGAGTGCCCAAATTGCAACCCAAAACCCACTTATGCATCATCAAGTGCCGCGTGGGTGTGGCCCATTGGCTGGGTGTGGCCCACTGGGTGGCGTGACTAATTGGGTGGGCGTGGCTGCAGTGGTAACGGCAGACTGGGTGGGACTAAAAAGTTCAATCAATCAATTTCAACTTTGCAAGATCTTTTTTTTCCCGCGAGAAATTGAAATTGACTGATTGAACCTTTTTTTTTTTTTTTTGCACATGGCAGCAGAGGCCTAAAGCAAAAAGGTTTTATAAAACCCAGCTGAAGGCCTAGGATTGGGGTGACGGCATGCGTGCCCACAGATTGGGCTCTGAGTGCCGCCTCTGGTACCCGTGCCATAGGTTCGCCACCACTGAACTAGGGCCAACCCTGCTTAGCCACAAGTACAGCCACCTGCTAGGATTGACCGAACGGCTGATGCTAATGCAGCAAGACGTTCCTGTTGCTGCTGAAAATGTAAGTGGACTGAACTAGTTCTCACTTTTACTACTTAGATAATGCCAAGAAGCAGAAAATAAAGGGATACAACTATGATAGTCTCGTTTGCAAATTCCGATGTAGTTACTCCAAGTTACTCAGAAAGCACCAATATCTAGGAAATAATAAAAGAGGAGATGGGAAAGTATATGAAGCAATAGATTAATTGAAGTCAAATGTTTTCAGTCAAAAACTTTCTTTGGAACCAATCAAGTAATATATACACCATAGATTGGACCTACTAAGAATAATTCTTAGCAATCTTCTTATCAAAGATGAATACTATTTGGTAAGAACTGTACAACAATATAGCAAGTAGTCTAAGAATACAATTGGAATTCATGTAATATCGTGCCAATTGGTAACATATATTTATATTTTATGGTGATTAAATCAAATACCTGGAGATAATTATTTCTATGAAAATATTTTGTTTAGAAGAAAACTATATTGCCCAGATGAAAGGAGATATTGAAAGATGAATGAAATACTCTTAAACTCTTAGAATAGATGCAGTAAAAACTGAATATGGCTTCCATACTGAGGTGCATTTTGAAAGCAGTGTCTATGCCGGTTTCATATGTGTTTGGGTCATGACCATAAGTAGTTCTTATTGATTAGCTATTACTATGGTGAACATTTGCAAGAAAATAAAGGTTCAGGCAAATAAATGTGTTGTTGAATTACGTTCCATACAGTGTAGAACTGTCCATTTTGAAAGAGCCTTGGATACACAGAGTGTGGACTCTTGCAAAAAATTATTCTGTTTGCTAGGAAGGTTGCAAAAAATTTAAACCACTAAAATGGTTTTGGATCAACCAAGAGATAAGCTTAGACAACATGCCTCCATATCATCTAGGTCAGGGGTAGGCAACCTTGGCTCTGTTATGACTCATGGACTTCAACTCCCAGAATTCCTGAGCCAGCTATGCTGGCTCAGGAATTCTGGGAGTTGAAGTCCACAAGTCATAAAAGAGCCAAGGTTGTCTACCCCTGATCTAGGTTTTACTGATTGCCTAAAAATTAAATGGTAATGACCAGTCTAATAATACTCTTTTTGGTACTAAGGAATTCTAAAAAGGAGAGAGTGCTGCAAAGTACTGCCTCCAAATCCCTATACAGTCAGAAATCAGAACACCCAGAATCCAGGTACGGGAATAGGCAGGCACCAGCCCAGGTTCCAAAAGGCATTTTAATTTGTCCAAGCTTCTCACTTGGATACAACAAGGGGCGTCAGCAGTGGGAGTCTACAAATCAGCAGTAGAATTCAATGAGCCTTGAAGCAACTTGGAAGAGAGACATAAAATACAGGCAGACTTTATAAAACTTCATCAGTGAGTTTCATTCAGGAAACTTGATTTCCTCAAGATGCAATAAACTGTTTACTGGACAACACCTGAGGCAGAAAATCAACTAGGTACTTGTCACTGGACTCCAGGCTATGTAATTTGCAAACCTATTTGCACTAAGAAATGGAGGTCTCACTTGGCCTCTTTTTCAATCCTGAAGATAGCCCTTCCTGAGTAAGACCTAGCCATTTAAAAAAAACCAAACAAACCAGGACGTTTTATAAAGTGATATGAATCAGTCCCTTCTCTCCCCCCCCCCAATATTATGTAAATTGAACACTTATGCAAATGAACACAAAGGCTGGACATTTTTTTTTTAAGACTAGCAATTTCATGAGATTTACCAGCAAGGCTGTTTGCACTTTAATTCACAACAACCACAAGGAAATCCTGCTTGACATTAGCCTTGTTGAAACTGTTTCACACTGTCTAGTTTTTCCCATTTCATGTAAAAAAAAAAAAAGTGTCTTGGCAGCCCCACAACTCAAATTTTGCCATCTCATCATGAAAAGGAATCACACAATCATTCATCTCTCAGAAAAGCTGCTTGATCTTTATCCTCATCCTCTGGTGTCAGGGTTCCAAATCTGCCCAGGTGACAGACACAGCCATGGCACTTTTATTGTCGTTGACAGGTACAGGAGAGTGGGGCTTGGATCACGATGCTATGCCCGCCATCTTGCAAGTATTTATCTCCCTCCCTGATATTCCTTCATTATATTTCCATTTTCCCTGTTACCTGTCTCTGGGGAGAATACCTGCTAGAAGAGGCATGAGGTCCAGGCGCAAAACTGCTATTCCAAACTTCCTTGCCTGGGCTGCCAAGGCAGCGGCTTCTTTACCAGCTGACCTCTGAGCAGCTTGTTTTGATTTCTTGTCAGCACTGAAAACATTACCTTTTTGCGATGGCCTCCTCTTTTCTGAGTGAAGAAAAGCTGGAAAATTATAGAAATTAATTTACAATTTGGATAAAATTAATTTGTAAAGACAGAAAGGTGATTATTACATTTAGCTTTAATTTCATTGCATCGCTAGCTGGAAGCTGAATCACGAACAACTGGACTTTTCTTTTGGGTTTGAGTCCAGTTGCCATCATTCAATTTCCTGACAACTCTATCTGGATAACTGAGAATCTTCATTGACACATTGCCTCACTATGTCTTACTTCTCAGCTCTGCATAATGCTACATATCTTGAAAAGAAAGAGCATGATGGACATACATATATCTCCAGCCCTGAAGGCATGCTAAAAATGGAACAGGCAGAATGAAATCAGGAAGTCCCTGATGTGTCTTACTAAATTCTCTGCACTGCAATTCAATTCTCTCAATCTGAGCAGCAGTTCATTCATCCCTTACCCATGGCACACAATTGCAAACTTGTAATGTTACTGTTAAGTATTACAGCTCAATTATAAGGAACTCTGGACACAAGGGAGCACCATACATTAGTTTTACTTATTTTTCATTTTCTCATTCTTAATTTAGATGTTATCTTAATCTAACCTTGTCAAAGATTGCTTTCAGTGACTAATCCAGATTGGATTGTTTTCAGTGCTTAAAAACAGATCATTACAGAGTTTACTTCATAAAACTCCAATAGCTATTTGCTATCCATACTGAAGGATGCAGAAATGTGCTCTCAACCAAACAGTACATTGATTAGATTAAGCAACAGAAGGCCAACTATTTACCGAACAGTAAGCAATTCCAGAATAAAGCAATGTTTCAAAAAGCTGAAATACGTCAAGAAATTGAACTGGGAAGTTCACATTCCAGTTCTATGTCCTGTTTTGGTATAGTAGTTTTGTAAAGACTGCTGCCATCAACTAACTTCCAAAGAAATGTCCTTGCCTGACACTTTCCCCCTAAAAGCGTTACTTAGGGCACTAGCCCACATGAATTAGGAGATCAATCTCACACGCTGTAAGCAGAATCAAACTTTTGTAAGCAGAATCAAACTTTTGAGTCCCATGTAGTACATTTAGTGGAGGTGGAGGTCAAAGGGGTGGAGAAATTTTATGGCTCTGCACAGCTCAGATCATCGGGTGAAAGAAAACCAAACTAAAGAATTCTAACCTTGACCCCAAATATGTATTTTGGAACATTTACCCACAATCCTCTTTTTCTGAGTAAAGTCAGAAATGTTGGTTTGTCAATACACTGTATGTGTAGTCTTTGACATACAACTATTTTAGTGATCATTCGAAGTTATAATGGCACAGAAAAAAAGTGGCCTATGGCCATTTTTCACAATTACAACCACTGCTGCATCCGTGAGATCATGAGATCACAATTCAAATGCTTGGCACTGACTCATATTTACAACGGTTGCAGTGCCCCAGGGTCACATGATCATCTTTTGTGACTTCTAACAAGCAAAAGTCAATGGGGGTAGCCAGATTCACTTAACCAACTAACTTAATAACTGCAGTGATTTATTTAACAACTGTGATAGGAAAGTGTTAGAGAATTTTAATTTCTCTATTGGTGAAAAATAAATCAGAAGCTCTCACAGTTGACTGCATTTAGCTGATTCAAAATAACTTCTTTATATTTATATAAAAATATTTACAATACCATACATTCTTCTTTACAGCAACATAGCACAAATGAAGACTTCTTCCAGAGAGATACAGAGATAAAACCTGAGACTGGAAATCCAGTTCCTAACTCAATATTCTTTTGCACAGACTCAGTAGCACTTTCTTCACATTGGCTGACTGAGTTACCACATGACTCTTCCTGCTCATGAATATTCCAACAGAAAGATTGTAAAATGGAGCAAAACTCATTTAACAACTGACTCACTTAGCAACAGAAATCTTAGACTCAATTGTGGTCACAAGTCAAGGACTACCTGTATTAATTTGCTTGTCTTCCACATATCACCTACAAATTTGTCATTAACATTGGTTAAAGTTCACTATTATATTGCTTATTAAATCTATTATCTTAAATAGATTTCTGCGTTATTTAAAATTGCAATCGTCAATATATTCATTGGAAAGAAAAAAACATCAGTAGCATTTGCTTCCTAGAAAATGTACAGGATTGCCTGAATCTCGGTGACGTACTCACCTATAGACACTCTTTCCTTTCTGTCTGAAGAAATTGGCGATTTACCTCCATTGGTTTTTATTGACAGTGATGCACGGTGTTTCTGTTTTATCGTTTTACCCTCCTGAATGGTTTTTTCTTTAAAAGAAGACTCTATACTCCCAGAAAAACTGAGTGTGCTTAAAAAGAAAGGAAGGAATAAAGAGGGAAATACTATGTACTATTTATATTGGTGCTGCTGGAAAACAAATCAATTAACCGTTCCCTTTATAAAAAGTAGAAATAAAAGGGATAAAATGCAGATGGCATTTTGAATTTCCTCTATGATTTATCCATCTTCTTGACTGTGGAAAGCAAAACGCCCCCAACTGGCCCATCACCTCTCATCCAAACATGGGATTCTATGCCTCTGTGGCTGCTTGATCTTTTGGTTGCTGTGGAGAATAGAATCTCACCTGGGAATTCCCATTTTATTTTATCTTAATTTTCAGTTTGACTCAGAGGCGTAACAACCTTATGAAACAGCTGCCATAAGGTTGATTTCTAATTACTGCCACACTATTCTCAGTCTTTTGGTTTGATGAATGACACCACAGATGAATATGTACCTGGCTTTATTCAGAGAGAGAGAGAGGAAGGGAGGGAGAGGGAGAGAGGGGGAGAGGGAAGGAGAGGGGGGAGGGACGGAGAGGGAGGAGGGAGGGAGAGGGAGGAGGGAGGGAGAGGGGGGGGAGAGAGATCCGCATACATTTCCCACCTTATCTTCCTCTGCAGATCATGGCAAACAAGACCCTTTGGACTGGATCATCTTTTCAGCCACCTTTCAATTTTGTTTTAGGGAGTTTAATGTTATTGTAATTGGAGGAACCTGATATTTAAAACAAAGGAAAGTATGTCTTGATGGGGGGGGAGGAGGGAGTAAAAGAACACTGTAGGCAACAAATTGGTCTGTTCAACAAAGAAGAAGAAAGAAGAGCGAATACCAGCCTCACTTCTTCTCCGCTCTATATCAGTCTTTTTTTAATGGTTTTTTTTAAAAAAATACAATCTTTAGTGCTTAGTAAACAACATTGTTGTCTAGGTTCAGGTATTTGACATTAACTTCTTCAATATGAATCTGTTCAGTATTGCACAATCCAGTATTTTTCCCTGATCCTCCTTTCTTCCCCATATTTTTTCCATTTTCCCCTCATTACAATTACAATATTTGATACTATTGGTGTATTCAAAGTTAAATATAAACATCTTCATATTTTACTAATGTCATACAAATAACAATAATATCAATTCATAAATCAATATCCTGTTTTTCATGCTCTTGTTAAGGTTTGATTTCCCATCAATATTTGAAATACCTTTGTTAGTTATGATTTTCTCAATGTTAATGACATTTATATAGCTATAGGCATGAGGAAGACATGCCTATAGCTATATAAATGCTATAGGGGGCATATATATGGGGGAGAATTCCGCCTATTTATATTCCTTAAGCAACTCCGAGTTTCCTTCTCCCTCAATTTCTCTTTTCATTCCTTGTCTCCCAAGTTGTGACACTTCCCTTAACAGCTCTACATTCTATTTTTCAAAATCTTCTTCCTTGCCATCAGATGTATTTTGCAGACCTAAGGGGTAAAGAGTCTTTTGCATTTTCAGTTATGGCTAGATCTTGCAGTATTTTGTTTGTACGTGGTTGTTTATATTTCCCTTCTTTTATCTCTTCCGTCTCTAAATCCATTTCCTCTGCTTCGTCTTCTGATTTCTGGTTTCTTTGTTCATACTTTGTGGTCGTTGCCTGGGAGCTTTCTAGTTTAGATTTAATTTGTCAGTTTCTTGCAATGGGCTCAAGAGCCACTGTCAAGGAAGAGCCTCTTCCTACCATCCTTTATGGCCATTCCCTATGACTTCTACACTCTACCCATAACCAGGAAGGCCACTGGCATGATCCTACAGCTGCTGGTCCCTTGCCAGGGCAAGTCTCTAATTAAGTGGTAATGGAGAAGGAAATGGGAACACCACTTCTGCATCTGTAGGGCTCCCTTCAGCTGGACTGAAAATCTAGCAGAGTGAAGGTGTGTCCATGTGTCTATCATCAAAGGCCTGAGCAGTGAGTCAGATCTTCATGGCTCTTTCAAAAAACAGCAGAATGGGGGCCACCTGGATTAGGGGAGGGAAACTGGTTCCAGAGGCTAAAAGCATTGTGAGGCTCAAAAGTACCAAAGTAAATGCATGACAAGATTGAAAACTTAAAAAGATCTATCCCATGGGGATACACTGGTTAATTAAGATTACTGATTCTTAATTTTTCTTTTAATTATAATTTTCAACATCAAAAGATTCTTTACCCCCCCCCCCCAGGACCTTAGCTGTACTTTTCATATCTGTTGGCCTGAATAAAACGTATTGACAAAAGGGCTGCAAAGTCAATTACAATGCTTTTAACTATTTGGCATTTTATTAATCACAACAGCATCTGCATACAATTGCAAAATAAAATTATATAAATGTATGTACATAATTTATTCAGTTCACGGATGATGATCATTATTTTGTTATGCATGGAAGGAAGCCATCCAGCAGGTCCCCAAATGTTCTAAAGTAGCAACTGGAATACCATTCCCTTTCTAAACTTATTCAAGAAAGAATATTTTTATTTATTTACTTACTTACTTATAAAACATTTATTCAATTTCTACAGCCACCATTTCAAGAAAGTAACTTCTGTGACTTCCCCCAAACTCTTGCAAATAGCAACAAAAATTTATAGGTAAGAGGGCAGACCCTGCTAGTTAAAAGCCCTCTGCATGTCTTCAAGGATTAAATATTTTGTGCAACATTGCTATTGCAAATTGTATAATTTGGGATGGGTACTCTTCATTGAACTGGTTATTATAATTAATATTTAGTAATTATTATTGAAATGATAGGGTAGGCTGACATACAGAGAAGACCATAAACATTCCAGAATGCAAGGCATGAAAGGATTCAAATTTGAAAGAAGACAGATTCTGACTGAATGTTAGGGGAAGAAAATTGCCCTTGTTGGTAAAAGCAATTCTATGGTGGGGCCAATTATTGGGAGGGGCTCTCCACTGGCTGGAGAGCTTTTTAAAAAAAAAGCTGGACAGCCTTTTGGCTGGAATGATTTACTTCCAACTCTTGGTTTTAGTTCTTGCGCATTATATCTAGATTTTGTAAGAAACACATACATAGGAGCCTTTAGCATTTATGGGACATAGTTAAGAAGAGAGCGACAAAATAGACAGTAGAAATGCAGTGGAACGGGTAACTATTTTATAATTTTCTTTGTATGATCTAACTTGCTCAGAGCTGTAGATTATAATGAAATGCTTCTTTCTCTCATAGAAATGTTGCCAAGTCTTGCAGCTGTTGCAAAACCCACAGCAGAGCCCGCAGGACAGCCTATTAGTTAAAAAAAAAAAAACCTATTTGTGAAATAAACATTTGCTAAACTTATGCCAAGAGTTGATGAATGTCCAACTGCCTATATAAGGCCATATGGAAGGTTGCCCCACAAGGGCTGCACCATGCTGCATGCTCCTAACAATATTGTGGTGCTTTGAAAACCTCAGTGAAAGCCGAGCTAATTAATTACAGATGTAAATCAGCTCAGTTTTCAATCCCAAGGGAACACATGAGAATATATTTGCAGTACCTGCTCCAGGATGCAGGGCAGGGCACTTACGGTATTTCTGGTAGGAATTCTTACCTAATCCCTCCTCCCTATCCCTGGGACCTCCCTGTCACTCCTAGTCCTCTCCCATCCTTCTTCACTGTCCTTATGTCCGTCCAAGCTTGCTTTTCTTTCCCAGCCAAGGGGAATGTTGGAAAGAAATGATATGAAGAGGCCCAGATCTCTCCCTCCCTCCCTCTGCCTATCTGTCGTTCAACAGGAGAATGCTTTGAAAACCCACCACAATTGAATAAAATGTGGCATGGGAAGAGACCTTGACAAAAGGAAGCTTGTGTTGGAAATGGACCTAATCTGGCTAGAGGTTATGAGGACAAAATCCTGAAAAAAATCTCTCAATGCAGCCACATAAGAGGAGAAAATAGGCCACAGCACAGGATTTCACTTGCTCTTCTAAGTCCCATTCTGCTTCTCTTCCCAATCAGGTAACCTAGCACAGAGCTATTTTCAAGAGACTAGAAATAATTCTAGAAGCCATTCTAAATCTCCCTGCTTTCCCAGATTTTTTTCCTTTGGCATGAAACACAAATGCAGCAAAGTGAGATGGCTGGCAACAATTTGTTTGAGATGGTATAGGGCAGGGGTAGGCAACCTTGGCTCTTAAAAGAGCCAAGGTTTGCCTACTCCTGGTATAGAGTTTCCTGCCAGAGCAGGGGTTGGACTAGAAGTCCTCTAAGGTCCTGTCACAGGTTCCGACTAATGAAGCACTTCAAAGAACTTTCAGGCATGTTTCCTAAAGTCTTTATTACAGAGCTACAATTTTGCCGGTCACCATCATGGACGTATTGATGCCAGAATCTGACTTCCTCTCGCTGGCATCAATCTTTTCTTGCTAAACCCCTCCCTTGTCTTGCAGTCACAAGTCACATTATCCAATTAGTGCGAAGGTCAAAAGTTTACTTCCTCTTTCTTTCCCGGGCTTTTTTCTCCCCCCCCCACTCTGAGCTATGTATTAACCCAGTAATTACCAGACAGTTTTGCATATTGTCAAAGCAAGAATATACAGTATTTGCAGCATTGACAGGTCCCTTCCAACTCTGTTATTCTGTTATACTGCTTAAGTCAGCAACATTATGGAGAGCTGTTGTGAGAAAGTGAATCTGATCAGGGTGAAATGGCCCAAACCCAAATACATTTGGTGGTAGAAATCAAATCAACTCTAATTTCTTGTAGTTAAATAGTCCTTTCAATTCTTAAATAAAAAGAACCAGAACAATTTGAAAAGCGAGTACAATTTAGTCAGAATAGAAATGTATCTCATTATCTGCATTTAATGATATAGACATGAATTGAAGAAAACAGGCCATAGATGGCTTCATTTATAGTAGGAACCGAAAATAAATTCAATAATAACAAAAGTAGTCAAGTGTTCAGATTAAAACATAGAACTGATGAACTTTGTGGCTGCAAAGTTTAAAGGTATTGCAAAGTTCTTTGGAAACATGTGGTCATCTACTAACTGCAGACACA